AGCTGCCTAAGGTCACTTGGCAAATCAGTGGCAGCACTGGGGACATCGTGGTTCCTAGTTCCCTGCTCTGTGGATTAGACCATGGTACCAATATTTCACTTGATTTTGAGATTTTCAATAGCTGTTAGATGAATAGCTGTATAATCAACAGTCCTAATTGTCACATGTCAGATATATATTTTTTGAAAACTGATGCAATGCTTTTTAATCATGTAGTTTATACCATGCTCCCTTCTCTTCTCCCAGTGGCCTTACAGTTGATCCATCATGTGGCATGCAGTGGCGGGGTCTCATCACTCTCACTGTTCACCTCAGCCCAAGCACTTAAAGCTGATAGCAGTCTACATGCTGGTGCTGTTGGTATCACTCAGCTTTACGTCAGGCCAGCGCAGATCGTTTAACCATCAGATAGACAACAGAAGTAAGCACTGACTTTCTGGCTTTTCAAATGATCGTTTTATTTTGTTCCCATACTGGCCACTGCTAGCCGGAGTCTCCCCTCGCACGAGTTTGACACAGTGTAACTCCACTGGCTTCCACTGAGTGACTCCAGACTCAAATATGCATAGGTGAAATCAGATTCAGGTTGTGGGTCTCGTGGGAAGTCCTGTCAGATGTGTGTCTGTTAGAAAGATGTATGTAGTAGGACAACATTCTCCATCCTGGGGATATTACTACTTAGTGTGAATGGGATGAGGCTCTTTCATTACTCTGAGTCAAATAAAACCTCTTCTGTCACAGAATTTTAAAATGAAATCTAATGCACTGCCGAGAATTCACCGCCAATATTCGAGTCATTGTAGTGCTTTGAAGCCAGGCTAGATAAAGGGCATTACCTCTTTCTATACTGGGCCACATTTAATCAGAGGGGCCATCCTGACAACAAACAGCTTTGAGACAAATTCCCTCCTCCATGATTCTGGGTAGAAAGGAGCAAAAAATAATGGAAGGGGAATATCAACGCCTAGGTATGCACCCTTCTTCTCCCTGCCCCTCAGAATCCCCTCAGTGGGTCCTGTGTGGCCACAGGACTCTGGTCAGGGAGGAGGCTGGCCATGAGCAGGATGAGTGACAGGAATGGGTTCCTGCCACAGTATGTTCTCTACGCTTTTAAAAAAATGCCCGGCGATTTTGGGAGCCTCAGTATTTGGGGCAACTGCCACTTGAGACAACTTAAAGGGCCTGTTCGGAAGGTGGATGCTCTGCACAGTCTGAAAATCAGGCCCCTTTAAGGTGTCAAGTTGGGCACTCCAAAATTAAGGTCTCTAATCCCATTTACACCACACGTCTTTATGAAAAGTACCTTATATTTATGGAGCAACTTGTGGCCAACACGGAAGGGGATATTTTTGCTCTTCTCTCTCTCTTGTTAAAGAAGCAAAATGCCCCAACCCAGATTCTGCAGCTTTACTTCAGGTCCTGCAGATATTTGTATAAACTAGGAAATGCATTTGAAATAAATTTGTCATCACTTGCAATCTTGACATTTCTAGGATATTCCTGGAATATCAGCCCCATCATTATGGCTCTGGTGGTGTCTTCATCAACACCTCCGTAGATCTTTGGAATGTTTGCACTAACTAAACCTTGCCACTCTCCTGATACAATTAAAAAGAATTTGGATCTTAAAAAAAAAAAAATTTAAATGAAGCACAAGTGAGCTGTGTAAAAATGTGATATTCCCCCTCCCCCCCCCAAAAAATTTCATTGGTGAAGGGTTGGATTTAATTCCCACCCACACTGCAGCTCAGAGTATTTATGAACCTTATTATGGGAACCAGGATACTCTTTAGCCAAGTCTCTTGACAAAGGCTTTTCTAATGCAGGTTCTTCATAAAACATCACATTTATACGGCTCAACTGTGTAGTGTTTTTTTTGTTTTGTTTTTTGTACATGCTAAAAAAACTGATCTGTGATCAAAAATCAATTAGCTGCAGCTCCAAATATTTATTAGAGCTGGTCAAAAAAATGGAATTTCTCTCCTGTAGGTACATCTGACATTTCAAAACTTGTTTTCATTCTGAATCAAGATAAAAAGTTGAAATCTCAAAATATTTAGTTTGTAATAGAATACCTGACATATTGCAACTTGGAAACATCAAAACTGCCTTTTTGAAATGTCTTAATGTCAACATTTAGTTTTGACAATGTTGAAACGTTGTTTAAGTTGAAACAAAACTAGTCAGATCAAAATGACAGTCAAAACATACTCCATTTTGATTTTTAATTTTTTTAAAATTTTTCCATCAAAATTGACATGCTCCCGCAAAATGTTTTCATTTCAACAACGCAGCATTTCCTTGAAAAACTTTTCCATCAAAAGTTTTTTCAACCAGCTTTTCACGTTTGATTTAGGAAGGCCAATTTTGCAACCAATTCCATTCACGTGGAAGGTCTTCACTTACCGCTTATCTGGCAGGATTGGTTGAATGCAATATTATGTAAATTATCCATTAGATGGAAAAGACTTGAAAACAAAATGGGTTTTGTTCCACTGGGGGTGAAGTGAATTACACACACACACACACCGCTGATGCACCCATGTTGATGCCAAGAGGTATCTTACAATGAGCTAGCAACCTACGACTGAGCGGTTGTGGGGGGAGGGGGTGTCACCTAAATTGTGGGCAAACACTAATATTGCCACCCTCCTTCAAGACTTCTGCTGAAGGAGGGCAGTTTTAAAATTGATCAGGGCTCTAGAAGAGTCCAGTAAGCAGTGACATCTCCGATACACAGGTCAGTGCATCCCCTGGTCTGAGCTAGCTTCCACAACTACCACCTTCCTCCCCAGTGGATTTTCCACCTCCAAGGCAGTGCTGGTAGAAGCTGGTACAGAGCTAGGTCTGAATGCAGGTCAATAGTTTGCTTTGTGCATTGTAAGCACTAAATCAAGGCAAAGCTCCCAGGAGGTTTTGCCTGTATTAAAGAAGAGAACAAAACCAAGCTTTAGACTTATTTCAGTAGACCTTTTAATTGAATAATCTTGTCTTTGTACAGGACCCCCCCCCCCAAAAAAAAAAAGAAAAAAAAAAAAGCGTGTCTGAGAGGTGGCTATGATTTCTAGAAAAATGTAGTGGCTACTTGTGCTGAAAATTACTTGCCTGCCATTTTGTCATTCAAGAAACCACTGAGGGCCCTTCCTGAAGTCAATGGGAACTTTGACTGAGTAAGAACTGCAGGTTGAGGCCCAGAAACAGGGAGAAATTCTTTGATAGGAAAGATCTTGGCCATACGTGAATCCTTATCCTAGAGATGGGGAATTCCCATTAAAGAAACGTTTGGTGTTTAGGATCATAGGGGTGCACTGTTAGTGATCCCTGGGTTTTTCTTAGGGTGTATTATTCCTTTGAATGTTCTGGCATTGTCCAGTAGATGTTGCTCTCAAGCTGAGTGCTGTTCACTGACTGTGGCTCAGTGCGCACTTCTTTACTGAATGCTTTGATTTCCAGGTCCTGAGATTGATCCGTTCTGGTATGTGGGACGTGGGGTCCGACCTATCGGCCGGTTTGGGAAAAGGCAGCTAAGGAGCAGCCACAAGAGCCTAAGACCTGGGATCAGCAGCCTGGAGCTGACTGTGGATGCTTTGCAGGAGCAAGCAGCACTGGATGCAGAAGATGATGGCTGGTGGTGATTCCCTTGTCATCTGCAGTAACTAAATTCAGTTACTTCTCTCATTTGAATTGAATTCTCTTGCTCCCCTCCCTACCTCCTCACATACACGTTAAAACTGTTTTGGTTCTGCTTTTTGTACATGTCCTTTGCCACAGCTTTGGTTTATTTCCTTTTAAAAGAAGTGCTCTCAGCTGGAAAGATCCCAATTGAAAAGTGGTGCTGAATGCAAACTACGCTGTCCACACACTTCCTCTCCTGCTCTGAACAAAGCATCTTCTCCCCCTCCCTCTTCTCTCTCCCCCCCTGCCCCCCCAGTAAACTAATGTCACTGTGAAGGTAGATCTGTACAAGAACCAAAAAATTTTCATGCGTGGAATCAACTCTGTATAAAACATGTTCAGTGCTAGCCTGCCAACAAACCTGTCATGTTTCAAAGTGAGTTGTTAATGCTGCTTAAAAGTAAACTATGGCTGGCTGAACTAAAACACATTCTCAGTAATGTATTTACCAATATTAAATAGATATGAAATGTTAGTGCTTTTTGAGTATTTTCATACACAACACTGACATGTGGTTGTGATGCATGTGTAATGGCTTGGATTTATACACTGGACATTCCTGGCCCTTTAAAATTTCTATCTTACAGGGTGTACTCTACAAGCAGGTGGAGTTTTGTTTTTCTTTTTGCTTTTTTAAAAAAAGAATACTCCCTTCTGAAAGACAGAGTTTAAAAGGCTAGTCAGGGTAGCTTTGTGCCATCAGAGCACACAACCCATCACCCTCAGCAGCACCATGAGGCCAAAGACAGGTGAAGCTGCTGGCTGATGTCCCTCTAACAGTGGTTTTTAATCTGTAGTCCGCAGATCCTGTAGGGGTTTTCAGACTATGCTTAATATTTCCAAAGAGATCTAAACCTCCATTGGAAATCTTCTAGGGGTCTGCAAATGGAAAAAGGTTGTTAGAGTAGTAGTTTTTCAATCTTTTAACTGGGAAAGTTAAGTCACTGTCCAAGCATCATAACTAAAAATTTATCCATTCTATTGGATTGTATAAATCCATGATTGCTTGATTAATGTGACCCATCAGTACACTAGCTAATTCAATAACTTGTAATTGGCATTGCTCATATAAACACACTTAATCTCAATAAGCAACTCTTGCCACTGCAAATACATCAGATAACATTTATAAGCAGTTCTAAGTTGTAGCTCATGGTCAAAAATACCCAACCATTCACTAAATAACTAATGAACTAGAATTAAAATGTAGGTCCTGAAGAGTACTTCAGAAGACTGAGCTTGTGTGTCTAGTTGTCTTCATGAATCACTGCCAAAGTAGCAGTGGTTGACTTAATCACAGCACATAATTTATCCAACTAACTTAATTCAGAGGCAGAAAAATAGGCTATTTTATTTTTACAGACTTGATGGCATTTTTCAGTTATTTGACAAATAGTTTGTGTGAAAGAATTTGAGCCCTGGGCTTGTTTGTAGAATGCTTGCTATGCATATCCACTATTTGTTGCTCATATGAGGTGTGACCCAAGTCACATATTATTGTGGTTACCTTTTTTACGAGTGTTTGTGGATAGCTTATGAACTCAGCACTACTCCAGGTTTTTAAAGCCAATCATTCAGACTTGTTAGACACAGCAATTGCTTGAATAATAACAAAAAGACAATCTACCACCACGACCAATGAAGCCTCTGTCATGCTTACCTTAAGAAAGATAGGATGCTGTTAGGTAATATGGTGTTTTGTCACATTATACCAAAACCACCTGCATAGCTTAATCAAAAACATAATTCCTACACAATCCTATAAAATCTTGGCCACAGTGGCCTGTCAAAGGAACACTGTCTCCTCCCAATGGCCTTTTGGAATCACTCTAGTTCCATTAGCCTACAAGGGTGTGTACCCTTAAAATAGATCCCTCATGTCACTGAGGTTGGTATGGCCCAACCTCAATGCAAGAGCTAATGGAAATGTTCAGTTCCTGATGCTAGTCTAGTTGCCAACTACTTGACCTCTAACCCAAGCTAAGATACCTGTACCATGAGTGTGGGCAGATATGTAAACTGAGCTGGAAATCAGCTGGGATTATCTGGAGTTCTTACTATGGTCATCATCCATTTGGCTGTTAAAATAAATCTACTATCAGCCTTGGTAGCTCCTGTACCACTACAGAGAGGAAATTCAACAGCTCACACAGATTTTGTAATAGAGGAGGGCAAACAGTATATCAGACCTAGCCCCAACTTGGCCTGGGACTCCCACACAAGATGAACACACTGGGTCAGATGCTCAAGATTGTGCCACTGGTCCAGGCCTGAAGAATTGAGAGTGGCACTAGCTCCTGGCCCTCAGTAAGTCATTCGGGTGGTCAAGGTTGACTGGAACTCAGCACTGCTGCACCCATGCCCCCTATTCCAAGGGCCGGAAGATGTGTACTGTATAACTGCTGCTCCGGCTCTATGCCAGTCAGGGGATTCTGCTTCTGTGAGGAAAATCTCCAGATAGCTGGTTGAGGCAGTTTTTGACATGCACGTCTTTTCTGTGAAAGCATGCTGCAGCCCTAATCTGACCATTTAATACTCACTTGAAGGAAGGCTTGTTCTCCACAGCACTGTGAATATGAGCACCACTGGGGGCGACTACATTTCCATAGCATTTTTCAAAGGAACAGGCCAAATGCAAAGCACTCACTGCTAGGCTGCCCGCAGCCCAGAGATGGAAAAGTGCAAGCTATAGCAGTAAAAGCCTGAGCCTGCACAATTCCAGCTGGGCGAGGAAAGTGATTCTCTTAATCATGAGGAAGATAGAGCCTGGGGTTTGGGACATTTGTTATCACTTGCAAGAATGTAGAGCAAAAAGATAAAAGTGAATGTGATCCCTGCAAGGAACCTGCCACATGCCATGAAACTTGCATTGGACAGATTAGAACAGGGACACATAGGAAATGAAGATGCTCTCTATGTATTTAGAGAGGACCAAAGCCTGAGGTTACCCAACCCAGCTCTTAAACCTGCATTATGGGAATTCTGCCAGTCGAGGGACTGTATTTAGCACAGTGTGCATATGGTTTAGAAGGATGTAATAAATTTCTTAAAGGGCTCTTTTCTTTTTCCTCTAAAATCAATCTGAAGGGAAGTGTGTGTGCCTCGATCCCTCCCTGGCTAAATTAGTGCATTTCACACACTGGAATACCGCAGTCCTTTTTTGAGCTGCATAGCTGTGAAAGACCCAGTGGAGAAGAGGCCATTTATGTACAGCAGGTTCCTATACTGCCAGGGTGGAGCACCTACCACACTACTCAAACGTGTGGCAGTTCAGTCTGCACCTTTTCTGAGTAAAGTGCCCAGAAATCCAAACAACAGGAGATTTATTTTCTTTTTCTTTATGAATCAGGTCCCTGCAAAGGCATTCTTTTTCATAAATTGCTTTTACTCTTATAATTTCTCTTAACAATAATTCCTGGTGAATACGCAGATAACAACAACAAGGCAAGCTTTACTTTCACTCAGACTTAATCAAATAGATCATTATATAGTCTTAATTTTTTTAACCATTAAAATATTTTCATTTATAAAAATTAATCTAAATATAAATATTAACACTAAAGATTGAAATCACTTGATGACAAAATAATTCTTTGTGTGCTATAACATGTTTTTTATGATTTTTTTCAAATAGTAAATTAAATTTTTGCACATATTTGGCACAAGTAAATCTGTAAAAATGCAAATACCATGTAGCGGGGCGGGGCAGGGTTTGTTTTGTTTTTTGTTTTGCAATACCTACACAATACACATTTTTGTCAAAGAAGACTTAACATTGTAACAACAGTAGTTGCTTTTCATGCCTCTTATGGAAAACATCCTACTCCAAAGTCTGTTTTTTAAATCACACTAACAGAACAAAAGCCATTAATCTAGTAAAATTAGTCATTTCTGAATTGATATTACATACACAGTATTAGCGTATTATTAGACAAATATGTAAACCAACCACTATTAGTGACGTTTCATGACACGCATACCTGCATAAACAATTATTTGGGAATGTATTATACACACACAGGAGAACAGTCTACTAGATGGAGATTGACAAATGTATTAGGCATCCTACTCTGTTTAATCTCCTTCACTAGATGGTGTGTGGACACACACACTATTTTTAAACACACTGGACCAAGTTCTGTCCTCATACTTGAACAAATTGAAGGCAATGAGGATTGCATGAGAATAACACAACGCATAATTTAGCCCAGAATGACCATCCTGGGCTAGATCTTCAACTGGTGTAAATCACCATAGTTCCACTGATATCCGTGGAACTATGGGGATTTCTACCAGTAGGGGATATGGCCCTATACTTCAAAATTGGACCAAATTCTTTTCAAATAATTGGATGATCCAATTGCACTGGTAAGGAGACTTCAAATTAGGAGGGAAGTTCACACTGGAACCATTTATCTGGCTACTCTGACCGGGTCTGGGTGGGCTTGGACAAAATGGAAGCTGGATCTGAACTGCTCCTTAGTTTTAGTCATGCAGAATCCAAGCCTACTGACCAGATCTTGCTAAACCAAAACGATTCCATCTCTTCGCTATACAGGCCCAAACTACCAAAATGGCTACCTCCAATGTGTGCCCAATTTTCAGTAGTGCTGGGCACCCACCGTTACTGAGGTGGACGATGGGAGCTGTGAATCCTCAGCATTTCTGACAGCCAGGCTGCTCTTCTCTAGCTAGCCTAAATGCAGATCAAGGTGCCTAAGTTAAAGCACCCAAATCTGAAAATTTTGGCCATCATTTCTTGAATCCATCAGAAGCTGTTTAATGTCCCCAACTTTTAAATTACTGCACATTTTAAAATTTATTTCTCAACATCTGTGGTTAAATAGACCAATCGCTCCTTAGGGTTCTATACTGCCCATTAAGTAATGACCAGCACTGGTGGCCATACAAAGAGGTGCTACCCCTGGTGGAGCTTCAGGAGGCATTCTGCGTCCCGAAGCTCTTTGGGACGCAGGGAGAGCTTGTCTGCAGCTACGCTCCTGTATGGTGCACAGCTCAGCACCCTCTGTGCACTGATCCTGCTCTGTGGGTCGGCAGGGAAGGGGGGAAGGGCCATGGCCCCATCTCCTCTCTGCTTCCTTTTGGTTACAGGGGAAAGCAGTCCCAGCACTCCTCAGAGCAAAGGGACTGCAATTCTGAAAGGCCCTTCCATGCATCATGAAAGGGAGGGGAAGGGAGATGCCCCTCGTGTGCTATTCCCCCTCTTAGCACCTGTATAAGGGCCTTTTATAACTAGCCCTTAATGTTGAAAAATATGTTTCAGGAAGCACTTTCTTTGAACAATATCTAACACATAGCATTGTTTTATTCTAATTTTGTAATCTTAAAACATTTGATAGGGCTTCATTCAGAGATGCACCTGCTGTGTGCAACAAATATTTAGGACACTGCCTAAAATGGAATATGCTTCTAAGCATAGAGGAGCAAGGTGTTGATTTTGCAATGTTTGTCAGATGCCTCAGATGCCAAAATAATGACTCAGAATGGGTCTTTTTGTAGACATGATACATGCGTGTCCCCCACCACAGTATGCTACGGTGGAACGTGCCAGCCTATCGCAAATGTCAACTGCTCCTTTAGCATCCACACAGCCCACGTCTGGAGACAGAATAATAAGTCAGCCAAAGTTGCTCTATCAGCATACAGAGGATCTTTTAGAAAATGCCATTGGGACTGATCTACAAACACTGAACTCAGCGTCAAACGTGCCAGCAAATATGGATCACAGGTTTGTTTTTTATCTTTCTCTTCACATGAAATATTGACCAACAGTTATCGTTGAATTAAGTATGCAAAAACATATTGTATTTTAAAGACAATATACTTTAGTACAATCAATGGGGGTGTGGGGGGGGGGAGTGCATCTTAAAACATGGAGCCTTGCTTATGAAACTCAGTATCCTTTCTGGAGTCTCATGAGAACTTTAAGGCAGAGTTTCCATTAGCAGACCGCAATGCTGGACAGCTTTCTCAGTGAGGTATCCAAACAAAGCCCTATTACTGAGGCATGGTGGGTTCTCGAGGGTCCGGTTTCTATTGGACATATACAATGGCTGTTAAATAAAGGCACTATAGTGTACAGCCTTAGGCAGTGTGTTATTGGCAGTAGTTTTGTAAGTCTAGTACATTACAGCAGATCCTATAGTTGGTTCCTAGAATGGAGAGAAAAGGAAAACATTAGCAAAATATTTCATAATGACAAAAAATGTCAAGAGTACAATGCTGATAAGGCTTTTTAAATGAAAGGGGACCATCAGTGTTTTATTACCAGGTGAAATACACCCCAAGCAGCACAAAGACTTGTAGACCATTTAAGTCCCCTCCTGATTGTTGAGATGAGCTGAGCTGCTTCTGTTGACAGTCCTTAGATTTGAACTCTGCGGGTGAAATCCCGGCCCCACTAAAGGTAACAGCAAAACTCTCATTGACTTCAATGGGGCCATGATCTCAATTTGGGTGTCTGGGGGCAAGGTTTTTTTAGCTTTTGATCCTGTTCCCCCATTGGCCTGCTAGAACATGAGAATACTGATCTTCTGGGTAAAGTGCATGGCCCATTTGTTCACACAGGGATGAAATTCACCCCTAAGTAGAGAGCCAGTACATGACCTATGTACTACTTAACTCCCACTAAATCCCTATGCTGAGCATTTCCCCATAAGCAGGTGAGATATGAGGAGAGTGTCTTCTACTGTATTATATTGTGGCATTGTTGCTATCAGGGTCTGCCCCCCAAGTTTGTGCTGTGGAGCGAATGTCTATTAATTCTGCCTGTTCTGACAGGATTTTCTTTTAAATGGTTTATATTTGTAATTCTATAAACACACCCAGAGAACTTGCAGTAGGAGCATGTCTATGCACATCAATGTAGGTACAGACTAGACTAGGGCTTGTCTACACTTACCGGGGGTTCCACACATGGCGATCAATGCATCGGTGGTCGATTTAGCGGGTCTTCTCTAGACCTGCCAAATCGACCGCTGATCGCTGTCCAGTCTACTCCTATACTCCACCTGAATAATAAGAAGAAGGGGAGTCAATGGGAGAGCGGCTCCCATCAACATTGCGTAGGTCCATTGGGTAGATCTAAGTACATGAACTTTAGCTAAGTTATTCACATAGCTGAAGATGCGTAACTTAGCTCGATCTCCACCCCTTGTGTAGACAAGGCCTAAGAACTAGGAGGAGCTCCTCAAAGAGGCACAGTTCCCTGACCACTCCCAGCTTCCTTGGGTCCAGCCTATTCCGCCCCCCCAGATTCTTGGCCAGCTACTATAACTGGCAAGAGGGAGGGTGGAGCTAAGGCCTCTCCTTGCCCATTTGCTCTTACTGGGGAGTATCATATGAGCAGCTCCTTCTCTTCTCCTCCTCTCTTCCCCAGCCACCGTGTCCAAAAGTGCAATCTGAATAGCTCTTTTGGCTGGGCAAGGGAGTGAAAGGAGCCTTAGTCTCATATGCAGTGAGTAAGGACTAGGGACAATCTAGCCTTAAATGAATAATCCCTCTCTCCATATTTCCTGCTTTTAACAGTTTTAACAAGGTTTGTTCTCAGATGTTACCATCAAGTCCTTGGCAGTACTTTTTCTCTCTTTAGTTCTTTGTGTTAGAGATCCTTGGAGCATAAAGTTTCTGTTAAATGTTCTAACAGTAGTAACTGGAGAAGCATCAATATTTTCACCTGGGAGGGAAAAAATGGGAACATCCTTTACGTGACAACTTGAACCAAACAACAGACTTGAAAAAGCAAATCTTCTAGCTCTTTAGAGACTTAAACCTAAATTTTGAGGAAAGTTAGGTTTACTTTAAATGGAAACGGGAAGACTGTGATATTGTAAGAGAGGTTTTTGAAATTATGAGAAAGCCTGGTTCACTACCAAGTGACTTCACCTCCATCAATGGAGTTACACTGGCATAAGATTAGAGTAAAGCAGTGGTGAATCGGGTCCAGAAGTTGTCTGAGATAGGTATTTTCATACCACTGAAGAGTTACAAAAATTGGAAGGCACACACTGAAAAATTAGGAAACTCGGAGTAAACAGGATCTATCTCATGAAAATGTTCATAGGCATACACTAAATCACCAGATAATGTCACTAAGCCAAAAGTTATAGATGAATTCAAGAGATACATTTCTTAAGATGATTTTGTGGCGCGACACTGGGATGGAGGTAAATCAATGAGACAGGCATGTTAGCTGGGTAGCTTCACCCTGTCCCTAAAACTTTTTTACGGCCTCCAGCCTGGATTCTGCAAGGCGCTTAAATTAAGCTCACATTTAAATGTTTTATTAAATAGTGCTTTGCTGGATTCAGGCCTTAATTAAGCTTTTCCATGTGTACATAGTAAACTCTAATCAAGTGCATTGACTCTCCAGAAACTAGAAATACTTTTAAGACAAGAAATGGGATCTGTTGTCTATGGCACGGGTGCCTTCCAGACACGTGCTCCACTTAATCCCAGAATAATGCTTTGAACTACAATTGTCCATTGCTAACTAGCAGAGCTGGTGCTTGGCATAAGCAGACTAAGCAATTGTTTAGGGCCCGAGCAGCTCAAGTCCCCCCTACCCCCCCGCTTGTTATTGCATGTTATGTGGGGGGCGCCCCCCATGGGCTAGCACCATCTCTGCTAATTAGCACGCTGTGATTGCTCTGACTGCTGATTCTAACCTTCACTCACTCCAAAATACCCTTTTTTGGGAATCTTTTTAGGTCACACAGCCATCATTTCTTATTTGCCTTAGCCAATCTTCTGCTCTTGTCCCTATTGACGTATAGCAGCAAATTAAATCAAAGCACCTTCCAAAGGGCCAAATCAGTATTTGATTTTATGTACATATAGCTCTCGGGTACCGTTTATTCTCACTGTATTCACTTGGTAATTTAATTCCCCTTAGCTGCCCTCTTTAGGGCAGAAAGAGAACATAATAAATAAAATGAGTTGAATGAATTTTTTGGTGCACCTTTTACCGGTGGAGCTGGAAGCTTTCTCCTCTGCTGTCTTGATGTGTCTATTGTTTGCATCTGTGAAAAACACACAGGTTTTACTAAGCTTTAATACAGAGAAAAGCAGGGTCTTCCCCCATGCAAAACTGCATAATGTTGTGGCACCTGGTTCATTTGCTTTTGATCCCTTTTTCTTGTCAGGTGAACACATGGAGCCACGTTCAAGCCTGCAACACTGAGAGCTGAAATTCTGCTCTCGATATCTGAAATCTTAAAGCAAAACAATAAATTAAAAAGAAACGAGGGGAGGGAGAAGTTTCAAAATTACTGTAAACACCACTAGTTAACGGCAAAAGGAACTCATGCTCACATCGTCATCAATCAGAAATATAAAGAAAGAGACAATTGATTTCTTCTGTAACTCTGAAAGACAATCTAATTGAGACATTTTGGACTGCTGTGTTCTTTAGTCCTGAGTGCCAAAGGGAACATTCACATATTAGGAAAGATGATTCCTCATTACATGGAGTAAACGAATGATCTCGTGGCACTGTACTCACATTCTCTACGACTATGGACACTTTGCTACATTTGAAAAATATCCAGTACCCAATGACTCACAGCTGTGTAATTCTAACTTCATTCAAGTTGTGTTTTAAAAAGTTATGCTTAAAGCACTATATTTTATTATGCATTTGCTATTTCACATTGGTTCTCATTTCTTTGAGCACAGAACAATGGTTTCTTTGTAACACCGAAATCTTCTACCTTAAACGTTCTGTAATTTATACTTTAAATACCTCAGCAAAGACATGTTATTAAACAAAGCAAGCAAGCAAACAGCTAAGTAAGTAAGCCTTTGGGGAGAAAGCAGGCTGAATTGGAGACAGAGGAAACAAATTACGCAAAAGTGACAGAACTGATAGAGAAACGAGAAAACAGCCAGACAGATAACATGTGCAGGGGCACACTGATGATAGATGAGAATCTGAGTTGCCAATACTGCGGGGAAGATATTTTCACTAGGATCGATTGCTTTTTAACTGTTTTAAGTACAAACTTATTTTCCTTAGACATCTGGTATGGCAGTCTTTTTTCCCATTTACATTTTACCATAAACTAATGATTTGAGCCAATACAAAGAAAACACCATCCTTCGTTTTAAAGCTACTCAAGTAGTTAGGACAAATCCTGAGGTCTTAGTCCTTACACAGGCAGCTGCTGCTGAATGACATCAATGTAAGCTTGCCTGTAAAAAAAATTGAGTAAAGACCGCAGAATGTGCCACCCAGTATATACTGGCACAGGTCAAAGTTTGTTCGGAACAGAGATGGTAAAATCAGCATGGGCATGTGGCGGCAGTTCTCTCATTCTGGTCTATGACCACCACCCGATTTAGCTTACTGCACAGAGTCCAGCATCTTTGCTGAATCGGAAGATGTACAGCAGGCTGCCAATGGAACTTGGGCATGAATCAGCACCTCTTGACGTTAATGGGTGTTTTGCCAACCAACTTCAGTAACAGCAGGATTAGAGCCAACATAGCTGGTCCAAAAGAAGGGGATTCCTCCTGCGTATCTATTTGTGATGAAATATGGCCCAAGCAACACCGCCCCTCCCCCCCCCCCGCTCAGCTGCTGTTATATGGATGTATATTTTTGGATTATTAAAAGTGAAGTCCAGCTAATAAATCCATGTGGGTACAGGCAGAATCTGTGTGACAGTGGGTGATGAGGGTGGATCGGTGAAATATTAATAGATAAGGGCTAAGCACGACAGTACAGTACTGTATTGCCCCCTCGACATCGGAAGGCAGTGAAGTTCCTCACCTGAAGCTCTGCATGATGAACTTGTGCTGCTGCTGTGGCTACCTGATCCTCCAGCTCAGCTAGTTCCGATTCCGCTGTAACACTGTTGATTTTGCGTGCTGCAGCCTCTAATTCATTCAGCTGGCCCTCTAAGCCGTACACAGTGCCGGCTGTCAGGTACACCTAAGGATCCAGATCATGGCACGGAGCAAGTCACTTTGGTTTTTATTCATGATGTAACTCAAAGAGGCCACAGGCTATTGGCAGCAGATGATGAAAGCCCCAAATCTCAAGAGCCCCAAAATCTCTGCCCGCACCACCGTTGCTATGAAATAGATCTGGTTGGAAATTTATTTTTTCAATTTAAAATTTCAACTTTTCAGTGACAAATCAAAAATCGAAAACGTTAGACTGAAAATGAAAATTTTGAATTGGAAACGCCTCCATGGTGCCTCCTGGGAGTTGTATATTTGGATACCTGATGACCCCATTTTTCTCTATGTGCAAGGCTACGTAGCCAGCCTGCATCTCCAATTATGCAACACAGTTTCCCCATTTACCAAGCCACCATGGGGCACCTTAGAAGTCCTGGCTGTGGTGGATCATGGGAGATGTAGTCTGGCTGGGGAATCTGGCCCCTGGAGGAGAATGGGGGCAGGAGGCAGCCAAACTACAACTCCCATGAGGCACTACAGTGGTGTTTTGAAATAGAAATATTTTCAGCCAAAAACTGAAAACATTATGGTTTTCGGGTTTTCAGTTTTTTGATTAAAAGTTGAAATTTTAGCACAGATTGACAATTTAGTAAAAAGTTTTGTTTAATCAAAACCCCAATTTTCTGTCAAAAGCAGTTTAGATGGAGAACTTCCAACCAGCCCTACTATGAAATAACATTATCTATATATTTAAATTTGAAATAAAAATGCCTCTACACAAAGTCAAGGCAGTCTGACAATTAAAATTCCACATAGGAATAATCAACTCAGCAGAATATTAGCACTTAGACCCAGTAAAATAAATTATCTTGATAATTAATCAAACCGATCCTACACCATGCAAAATTCATATCTTCATCCCCCTCCACAAGCCTTTGCAAATAGATGGGTTTTGCAGTGTGTCTTGAGGGTCAACCAATTAAGCTATTTGGGTACAAAGTGGGAAGGGCAAATTCCATAGTTAAGGGGCCCCTTTAGAGAACATTCTGCTAGCAGCTCCCTCTCTTCTGTAACATGGGGAGTCCCGGGTCAAGTGTCCTTTTTGACTAAAGCAGTGGCAAGGAGAGGGGAAGATTCTCAAGCGGGCCAGTCCCAATTTATGTTAAGCTTTTTATCTTAAATCTAATACCTTGCATTACACCTGGAGACCAAGAGGCAGCCAGTGCCAATCTAGGACACTGGTGTCATGTGTTCCCATCGAAACACACCACTTGCTAAGCAGGTTTCCACATTTTGCACTAGCTTTAGTTTTTGAATGAGTCTCAGGGGCACCCCCATGTACAATGAATTAGCAGTCTGACTGTGGGGAGATAAAGGCATGGATAATTTGTCCTTAGTTATAAAATGTTTGGGATAAATGAATGTATCACTACAATTCTGTCAGAACTAATTTTTAAAAGAATCTCCCCTGCACAGCAATCTCAGCTAGGGAGAAATCACTAATAGACAGTTTATTTCCTAGCCAACTATTCAGAGCGATCATCCACAGTACATAGTGGTCTATTTACCCTCTTTCATCTTACTCAGAGAACCAAGTCTGTTGTCAAGCAGTTGGGTTTTCTTGATAGGACACATGCATCTACCGCTTAGTGCTCTGCCTAAATGTCTGCCAGTCCACGTGACAGTACTGCATCTTCTACCCATTCCCTAAATAATCAGCACACAATCCCAGCAGCCTCTGCTGCTGCACAGTGGAAGGAAACTAAAGAATGCTGCCAAGTACTTCACCACGCCCGAATGATCACAGTGTTACAAAAACACTGGGAGTGAAAAAATATGGTGCAGCCGGTTTCTGGGTCCCACAGCTGAGCACTGTGCATGCAGGGAGAAGAACCTCCAGCAGAAACCCCACTCCTCCTCACAGCAGCATCACTCCCTCACACTCTCCCAACCCAGCAGCAACAGCTCCAGCCTGTGTTCCAAATCCCACAACCCTTTCATACAGTCGGGTGGGATACAATTTTGGGGCCCTTTTGTGGGTCATCATGGACCAAAAGCGCTGGAGAACCACTTCATTAGACGTTATCGTTTCCTAACTATGTAAACTAGATTGTGTTTTCCTTAAATCAAAATAATTTACAACCCCCCAAATAAAAATAAATGGGGCATCTTGAATTGGTTGCTATAGAGCAGTGGGTTTTCAACCTTCTTTTTCATTTGCAAACTCCTAAAATATTTCAAATGGAGACCCCTTTGGAAATCTTAGACATAGTCTGTGGACCCTGGGGGTCCACAGACCACAGGTTGAAAACCACTGTTCTATGGTAACGACAACTGTCACGGACCCCTTAGACATAGTCTGAGGACCCCAGTGGTTTGTGGACCACAGGTTGAAAATGACGGTCTTCAGAGTATAAACCCCTATTGTATTTTTTTACACATATGTGACAATGCTGATAAGCTAATACACTTTGTCTTGTACTGAGTGAATGACAAGTTTTAGCATGGAGGATAAATCCTTTATTAAGGTGGTTTGCTGCAAAGAAGTGGCCTTCCTTGACATCTTGGCTGAAGCACTTAAGACATAAAAAGGATGAAGATGAACATTCTGAACATTAAACAAGAATTTCCATGCTTTAGTGGGTTTTTAAAAAGTTCTTTCATTTCAAAGTAGTTTCTTTGTGGTGCAACATTTGCGGCACAGTAATTTTAGATTAAAAAGAGACTCTGTATCGGCCTTCTTTTCTGCTAAATACAGCCATGCCGCTCACAAGAGGAGAAAGAGGAAAAAGGAAATGTTTAATCAGCCAACCCTTCAGAAAACTGAAGAAAAGATTCATTTAAATGTTATGGCAAAGTTCAATGTACAACAGGTTACATTTTTCACAAGGGAAAAATGCCTATGGAAAACAGAACTACTTGGAAAACAGAAAACATTTTTCAAAGTTTTCTTAACTCCTCCGCCCTCAACTTTTGTTGAAATTTCATTTCACTGCAGATTTTCCAGTCAGCTCTAACGGGGAGAGTTTCAAAGTCACAGAGAGTAGACAGGCACCCAAACCCCATTCATTTTCAATCGGAGTTGGGGCGAACTCCTCTTTGTGCCTTTGACAATCTCCCACTAAATTATTTATCTATAAATTTAAATGCATGAGCCAAACTCAGTTATAAGTGAGCGGTGTGCAGCTCCGACTGAAGCACATGTGAGGTTGTTCCCATGTATCCAGCAGAAAAGTGTGCCCTTTATTTTCCCCTTTGATTCATACACATAATTCCCAGTAATTGTTAAGGAGAGTTACTCATGATGGATAACATCCTGAAGTCTCTTCTCAGGCCCAGATCACGTGCAGAGGGAATCCTGTGTGTGCAGATCTGCCCCCAGCTACACTTGAGGAGATGGAGTAGCTGACTTCGTGGCACTAGTCCTGGATTTGCCAATGGCTCTTCACAAGTACACATGAGGTGTGAAAACCTGGTCTGTTGAAGCCAATGGAAGTTTAGACACTGATTTCCATGAGCCAGGATTTCACGTGGAGAGGGGGAAGATGGACTGAGGCTGAGAGTGGGGATAATGTGCATCATCCCCCCTTGCATCCTGCATGGTTTTTGCAGGAAATCTAAATCAGGCTGAGGTTGTATGCCTCTCCCGTGGAGCCACTCTGTGCTGGGGAACCCTGTTAGAGGGAAGTTCTGGGGAGTGCCGCAAGCGTGGGCGAGCTCTGGCATTGTGACTGGAGTTGTACTGCCACAGAGCAGGAAAGCCACAGCCGATGTGAATGCACAAGGCCCTGTGCCCCAATGGATCCCAAAGACCCATGTGGATCGGGGGAGGGGGATCCTCTCGGAATTTAAGGATGGAGGTCACTGTTTATTCCTTGGTGGGTGGGTAGGGAGCAAAAGAACGGGGAGGAAATCTTTTAAACTGGCCTTGTCTTCGGGCGCCTCTTGTGACCTGGGGCAATCTGGCTTTCAGTTTTCACTCTGTTCTCATTCTCCCGGTCATTAGGGCTTCACACAGGCACAGGGGTCAGCCTACTAGAGGATCCCAGTGCAGGACTAAGGCTTAAATCATTAAATATTTCAAGTGACTAAAACATCTACATTGCCTGATGCTCTAAACTTGCTACTTCATTACACTGATTAATGCACAATAAAATCAATTGGACACTGGCAGGAAACGTTGGCATCTCTGTTACACATGCTGTAGTTTAGTTTAATTTTCTGGTATCCTTTCAAATGTGTTCAAACTAAGAAGTATGGCAGGGGTGAAATTCACAAAAGGCAACCATGAGGCTCTTTACACCACCGAAGTTCCAGGATTGGGCTGCACAGGGGGCGCAATGGGCCTGGTTCACCATGGAGGAGATGTTCACGTCTGCACTGTGGTTGGAAGCAAGCCTCATACTTGCGACAGCAGGGCTTGAGCCAGTAGAACTTGAGCTAGTGCACTCATAATAGCAATATGGACCTTCTGGCTCACACTGGAGCTTGGGCTCTGAAACCTAAGGGGTCGCAGAACATCTGCCCGAGCCGGAATGTCCACACAGCTGAATTGGCGCACCATTGTGGCCCTGCTAATCCAAATCTGTATACCCAGGCTGCGAAACTCACTCCCAGCTACAGTACAGACATATCCATAGATGGCAGCAGTTGCAGCAAGACCAGTCTGGGGAATGGGTCATGGGATCTGGTGAGTTCAGTATCCTTTGTAAGTGATGCTAATGGGCAGAACATTGGCAAGAATAGCAATTGGGGGAATGGAGTAAAACACCAAAGCCCTGGTGGCCTGGTCCCAGACCAGAAGGTGGGTGATAGATTTAACTTCTGGTCCAGATTTATTTTTATTATTTGTATTATCAGGACATCGAGTCCCAACCCTGGACAGGGATCCCATTGTGTTCGGTGCTGTACAAACATATACCAAAAAGACAATGCCTGCCCCAAAGAACTTACAGTCTAATGTGGATGAAGTGAATTCACCCACTGGGAGGAGCTTCTTTCTTTATGGGTTTTCAGACAGAGTAAAACAGGTGTCTATTTCCTGTAATTGTTATAATGGGAGAGTTGGGATTCCTATTATACTTTAAAAGTCATTAAAGAAGAGAAAATACAGTAGTTTAAATATCAGCTAAGTAAGACTCAGGAGAAGACTGAGAGGCATGAAAGAACTATTATTCCATTCAGGATGCACCAGAACGTTTAGTTATTGACGACTTACAAATAGGTAAATTCTTCCTTGGATGACGATGGGTGGCACCTGCTCATTCAAAAGGGCAGAGGAATTTGATTCTTCTGAGGAAATGGGTTTTTTTAGGACTAATTTAGGGTTTTCCAGTCTGCTCTATGTAACGGTGCAGTACATACAGAAGCAGCGCTGGGTCCCACAGCTGTCCATTGCCCCTTACTCCAGGCCCTTATCAGATCAGACTGGTGTGTTGGGGGTGGAGGTGGAATCAAGGCTACTCTTACTCCTTGCCTGCCTGCAGAGGTTCCTGCTCACCCTTTGTACCCTGACTTGATGTCCAAGGGGGTTGTGCAGGGACATAGAGGTATTTTGCTTCTCAGTAAGCCACTCCACGGTTGTATACGTCAGGCCACCACTTGACCGTAAGGGATTACGTTTCTTTTTTCGAGTAAGATAATTTTACAACAGCTACAAAACCCAACAGATGTTCAGTTTGCTCCTATTATTATGAATGTTTCCCAAATGGAATGAAAAAAATAAAAATAAAAAATAGCTGATGATCCTTTCACAACAAGTTTGTTTTTTTTAAAAAAGCAAAAAATTAATACGAAAACTCAACATGCTATTGCTTAGGTCAAAACATACCACATGCCACTTTTTTCTCCTAAAGAAGGCAATTTGCTATATTTGACATTGATATCGTACTCTTACATTTTCTTCCAAGGTGGTGAGCTGCTCATCGAGTCTGACAGGGTCTGTACCTAGTGGAAATGCCCCTCTCCCTCTGTCATGAGTATCTGCTGGGAAATCACAGGGACTGGTGGATTCTGCTATCAGTTCCTCTGTGGCATTGATGACTTTTAGGACCTCTGTAGATATGTTGCAGAGAGAGACAGCAGAGTACTTCTGTTTTGTTACAAGAGTAGATAGGGATAAACAACAGCATTATGTTAGGATGGAGATATAATTATGGTAAGAGTCTCTTATCTGTAACTTTATTTTAAACATGCCTTCTAAAAGAATACCTAGGCGGTTCATATGAACAAAGAGGTTAAGCCATGTACTTTAAATAGTCACACACACACACACACACACACACACAAAATAACTCTTCCTAGTTTAGGGCTCAAATGACAAGGACCAAACTCTATCCCCAAATGTGAACAACACACAACACTCCCTTTGAAATCAATGGGAGCTGAATGAGCCTATTTGGTGGCAGAATTTATAACCAGATTTTAAAAACATGCCCCCACACACATTAGGTACCTGCAAATAACTGGGATCATTAATTTATGGGCCCAGAGGAGGATATATAAACATCTGTCTTACTGTACCCACAAATGAGGAAGTGCCATCCTTACTTGACTATTAAAATAACAGGTTTCTAGGGGCTGTTTCTCATTATTTGTCAGCCTTCCAAAAAAGAGGCTGAATTAAGGACACACTAAAAATCAGCATCAAAATGTTTGTCTGCTTCCTATATTTACTAACTAAATTACTTTAACTAACACGGAAAAACTAACACTCTCCAACCCTGTTCTACCGAGCCCTGTTTCTACAGTCAATGGACCTTATTCTTACATTGATTTTAGACCAGGGTAACTTCTTTGACAACAATAAAGTTACACCTGATTTACACCAGGATGTGATAATTAGGACAGGTGAGGACAGGAACTAAATCTGATATTATAAATGCGCAGGGCTTGATCTAAAGTTCACTGAACTAAATGCAGATACTCCCACTGACTTCACATGGAAGCACATGGGCATACTTCAGCGCAACTACTCACAGGAGTAAGTGTTTGAAGGGTCAGCCCTTAAATGTAATTTTTAATTCCCAATCCTGCAAACATTATGCATGTGTGTGATGGGACTCCTCGTGTGTAAATTTACCCACATGCAAAGTGTCTGTAGGATAAGAACTAAGGACGGTTAGATAGCGGAAGTATTTAATCCATTGACTTTACAGTTATTAATGTGTTTCCACGACTGTCATTTATTAAAAGTAAGTCACATTAAACTTTCACATTCAACGGGGAACAGCAGAAATAATTTTCTTTTGTTTCCCGCGAACTCTGGTGCAGTTATGTTACAGTAACTCTTATGGTATTACTTTTTTGCTAAATTAGCTGTACATTTTTTTAAAAAAGCACACTACTCTACATGTCAGATGAGGCCACTATTGAAAACTTGCTCTTTTTTCAGAGCATGTATGGATTCATCCCTTGTACACACACATTAAGTCAGCCTTAGTTCTGTTATTCAGTTAAATTACAAGGAAAAAAAGCCTGAGAGAGAAGAGGAGAACAGAAGCAAATCCAGTTTGTTAACGGGTCACAGGTCTGCAGGTTGTCAGGGAGGCGAGAGAGAGAGAGAGAGAGAGAGAGTCATTAACAAGCAGGATAAAGGACTCTCTGTACAGAGCGGAAATACTTGAATCACAAAGAGTTACCTACCTCTCTTAAGATTCTAGTGTTTTTTCCATTTATTTATGGAAGTGCCAATTAGGTAAAAATAGATCAATAATAATATAGGAGGGAGGAGGAAATCAATGTTACTTTGCTTTCATTATTTGCCTTCACAAGCACCTTTTCTTGTTCTATCCTATCAATTAAGACAAAAAGGTATTCTGGATAGATGTCTTGAATTTTCATCAAAGTATACAGCTTTGACATATGTTCCAAGGAATTGAAGATCTGAATTCAGTGTTTATTTCTTCATGAAATCCATAGCACTTACTGCTATTATGGATCATTTACAAAATTCCATCTCTTTAGAGTTTTTCAGTCTAAGTTTCTGAGAGCATGTCTACATGGGGAGATAGTGACCAGAACAGCTATTCTGCAATAGCTCTTCTGGAATAGCTCCCTCTGTGGCCATTATTAACAGGCGCCGACTTTCCGAAGTGCCAGGGGGTGCTTGACCCCCAGCTCTGCCCCAGGCCCTGCCCGCAACTCCATCTAAGGCCCCAGCCTGCTCTTCCCGCCCAGTTCCACCCCTTCCCCCCCAGTTCCACCCCTTCCCCGAGCGCGCACGACCTCGCTCCTTCCCCCTCCCTCCCAGCCTCCCTGCATGCTGTGAAACAGCTGATTGCGGCAGGCGGGAGATGTGGGAAGGGAAGGGGAGGCGCTGATCAGCGGGGCCCGCCGATGGGCAGGAGGCACTGGGGAGAGTGGGGGGAGCTGATAGGGGGGCTGCCAGTGGGTGCTGAGTACCCACCATTTTTTCCCCATGGGTGCTCCAGCTCCAGAGCACCCACGGATTTGGCGTCTATGACACTATTACATAATTATAATAAAAGTGCCTTTTGCTCATTTACCTTATTCTGTTTCCAAAGTGTATTAGGCTCAATTGGAAAAAGGCACTCTTATTGTGGAATAATGTTGGGTCGCCCTCAAAGTTATATAAGTACGATAGAATTATAATTATGAAGTAGTAGAAATAAAGATAGACAAAAGAGCATATAGGCATTGTAAAAAGGTATGAACATCAGTTCCATGCTGTTGAATTTCACTCTGTAACAAATGCAAGGCCAAAGTGCTAATTATTTCAGGCCAGTACAGGACAAAGAGTCTGTGCTGGAAAGTGATAAGAACTTTGAGGAAACAATGCTGTTCTTTAAAACAACACCCTGATGCTCTTCCCCAGCAGGAGCCCCTTGTCATGCCTATGTAAATCTTGGTATCCAAAGAGGGAAAAATAGATAGTGGGATAAAATGAATTATTGTTAAATTCATTTTGAATGAATCATTGTTAAATGAATCAAGAGTCATAGATTGTGTTGTTAAGTAAAAGAATGAATGATGAGTGCATGGAATTGAGAGCGTGAAGCAGGGAAATAATTGGTTAGTAAATGGTGCCAGCCTAATCCTAAGAATTTCAACCTTGGTATCGATGGGCCGAAGAATATTCAAAGCAGAGATAACTGGATGACCCCCAGAGGGTGAACCGGAATCCACCCAAAACGCATCAAGGAAAAACAAGAAGATAACACCTAGCCATCACGGAGCTGTCATGGATGTATCACCTGCTGATTGATGGTCATCTCAATTGTAAATTCAGCATGATGAAGCAACTTCCATAGACTTGTACTGAACCAGAGACCTATAAAAATTGGGTCCAGAGACTGTGTTCTTTGAGTCTGGTTCTACGACCACCCTCCAGGAGCATCAGATGTGCATCTGACAATGACTCGGCTCCACTCTCATGTCCAGGCCACCTGGCCAGTGACTGGGCACGAGCACTGTCTAGGCTGGTAATTATAACAACCTTTTTGCAGAACCTGTGTGTGAATGTCTGTGTGTGTGAATGGATCTATATAGAAATTGCATATAGGAATATTTTGTTGTATTTACAATAAACGCAGCAATTTGCCTTGTCCCTCTTACAAGATCCTGCTGGTATCGTTTTTATTAGTGTAACAATAAGAGTATCCAAGACAGGCCCTAAGAAATCAAGATTTGTTCAGTACACTACGGACCCCCAAAAAAGTTAAAGGAAAGAGAGAATCATTTTAGGATTTTCTAGACTTTTGAGGAAAGTTTTTACTGGCAGCTGTAGCTCTGCTGCTTTTTAAAATTGTAGATTTGCCCCAAAATCAGTATATCCAAAGGAGCAACAAACCCTGGAAACTGGCTTGAAAGTAGTTCTGAATGTCTAGGCTGTGTGACAGAGTCTGTGAACGTATCCTGAGAATACAGTAGATGGACACAGGAGTAATAGGTTTCAGAGTAGCAGCCGTGTATTCGCAAAAAGAAAAGGAGGACTTGTGGCACCTTAGAGACTAACCAATTTATTTGAGCATAAGCTTTCGTGAGCTACAGCTCACTTCATACTTCACTGAATGCATCCGATGAAGGGAGCTGTAGCTCACGAAAGCTTATGCTCAAATAAATTGGTTAGTCTCTAAGGTGCCACAAGTCCTCCTTTTCTTTTTACAGGAGTAATAGATTCTGTGACTTCCTATTTTTTCCTTTCGGAGCTCCTGGAGAATCTACTCCTGTCGAATAAGAAAGCTGCAGTGTTTGATTCCAAAGAAATGATTACATGTAAACAAAAATCGGTTTCCCTTTCAATTTAAATATTTCTGATTATTACAGTCTCTAAAAGTTTTCAAAAACAATCATTAAATTCAGAGTCTAAATGTCTGGAAAATGTCCCAGTGAAGGGCATTTACAACTCACCTTTCTCCCGGCTTGCATTTTGAAGAAAATTGACGGTAAGGTTTAGTAATTGCCAAACAGACACACCACAGCTAAATTTTAGGGAGTTTAGGGTCCCCTGCGAGCTCTTAGGCCCAAACTGGAAATGCTCCCTGCTTGATCACATTTTTCCTCCATTTTTTGGGAGCATCTACAGAGCTGGTCAAAATGATTCCAGTTTCAAAATTTCAAGTTTCCAAAATCGGGGTTGAGAAGGGACAGGCGAATGCCCCAAAAATTCTTTTGTGAAAATGGTCATGACTTTTTATTCCTAGTTTTTTGACCTGCTGTTATGTATGAATAGGAGTTTCTGAGGCTTTCTCCGGGCAGCTGCAGGAGATGGGCATCAGGAGGCAGCCTTGAAACCCTGCAGGGCTCCCTGGAGCTGGAAGGGACTGTAGCTGGGAAGAGTAGAAGGCAACTCTAAATCTCATGTTAATGAGAGTCAAGTCACACACGAGTATCCGTCCCCCACCAAAATATTAACAAGGGAAGAGACACCCCTGAGATCCAGAGATAAACAGACAAGGGATTCAGGGTCCCTCGCCTCTCTTGAGATCTACCTGCCTGGGATTGCTGATCCTGGATGCTAACAACTCTATTATCACTCTCTTTAAAACATCTCTGTATGAGAGGAAGTCAAAGGAAGAGGGAACAGGGAGGGCAAAGTCCTATTTTAATTAATGATGCAGATATCCTATC